TCTCTCTGTGTCTGTCAAACAAATAAAATCTTTAAATAATAATAATAAAAAAGAAATGAGAAACATGCTTGATGGAATGAACAGAGGTTGGAAGAAGCAGAGAAATGAATTAGTGAGCTAGAAGACAAAGTAATGGAAAGTAATCAAGCTGAACAAGGGGGAGAAAAGAATTATGCAAAATGAGAATAAACTGAGGGATCTCAGTGACTCCATCAAATGTAATAGCGTTCATATTATAGGAATCCCAGAAAAAAGAGAGAGAAGGGGGGGCAGAAAATTTATTTGAAGAAATAAGAGCTGAAAATTCCCCCAGTCTTGGGAAAGAAAGAGATATCTAGATCCAGGAGGCACAGAGAACCCCCAACAGAATCAACAAAAGCAGACCAACACACAGACATATTGTAATTAAATTTGCAAAATATAGTGATAAAAAATTTTAAAAGCAGCAAGACAAAAGAAGTCATTAAATTACAAGGGAAAACCCATAAGGCTAGCAGGAGATTTTTCAACAGAAACTTTGCAAGCCAGAAAGGAGTAGCATGATATATTCAAAGTGCTGAATGGGAAGAATCTGCAGAGAATACTCTACCCAGCTAGGCTATCATTCAGAATACAAGGAGAGAGAGAGTTTTCCAGACAAGCAAAAACTAAAGGAGTTCATGACCATTAAACCAGCTCTGCAAGAAATACTAAAAGGGACTCTTTGAGTAGAGAAACCCAAAGTGACAGTATAGAGGTAGGAAACACAAAAGCAGTAAAAATGAATTTTTCTGCAAAAAAGTCAAGGAACTCACAAAAAGATATAAAATACAATAACATATATCTAAAAGGTGTGGGGGACGGGAGAAAAGAATGTGTTCAAACTTAAATGACCATAAAAAATATAGACTGCTATATGCAGAAGAGGTTATATGCAAACCTAATGGTAACCACGTATCAAAAGCCACTAATAGATATGCAATAGATATCCAAATATATCATTAAAGAAAATAAGCAAAACATGAAAAAAGTCAAGAAAGGATCAGAGAAGAGCTTCAGAAACAACCACAAAACAAGTAATAAAATGGCAATAAATATGTATCTATCAGTAATTACTTTGAAGGTAAATGGGCTAAATGCTGCAATCAAAAGACGCAGGGTGACAGAATGGATAAAAAAAAAGAGCCATCTATTTGCTGCCTGCAAGAGGCCCATTTTAGACCTAAGGACACCTACAGATTGAAAGTGAGAGGATTAAGAAACATTTAACATGCAAATGGATGTCAAAAGAAAGCCAGAATAGCAACATTTATATCAGACAAAATAGACTTTAAAACAGACTGTAACAAGAAGCAAAGGAGGACAATATATAATAGTAAAGGGGATAATCCGACATGAAGATATAACAATTGTAAATATGTATGCACCCAACATAGGAGCACCCAAATACATAAACCAGTTAATAACAAACATAAAGGAACTACTCCATAATAATATAATAATAGTAAGGAACTTTAACACCACACTTACATCAAGTGGACAGATCATCTAAACAGACCATCAACAAGGAAACAATGGCTTTGAATGACACACTGGAACAGAAGGATTTCACAGATATATTCAGAACATTAGCTTCTAGAACAGCAGAATACACATTCTTTTCAAATGCACATTCATGATTAAAAATCCTTAACAAAATAAGTTTAGAGGGAACATACTTCAACATAATAAAGGCCACCTGTGAAAAACCCACAGCTACCATCATCCTTAATGGGGAAAAACTGAGAACAAGACAAGGATGTCTCCTCTCACCACTTGTATTCAACATAGTACTGTAAGTCCTAGCCACAGCAATCAGACAACAAAAAGAAATAAAAGGCATCCAAATCAGCAAGGAAGAAGTCAAGGTTTCACTATTTGCAGATGACATGACACTATATATAGAAAATCCTGAAGGCTCCACCAAAAAATTGCTAGAACTGATAAATCTAGTAAAGTCACAGGATACAAAATCAATGTACAGAAATCTTCTGCATTTCTGTACACTGATGAAGTGACAAGAAATTAAGAAAACAATCCTATTTACAATTACATCCAAAATAAGACACCTAAGAATAAACCTAACCAAAGAGGTGAAAGACCTGTACTCTGAAAACTATAAATCACTGATGAAAGAAATTCAAGACAACACAAAGAAATGGAAAGACATTCCATGCTCACAGATTGGAAAAACAAATATTGTTAAAATGTCTATATTACCCAAAGCAGTCTACAGATTTGTTGCAATCTACAGAGGCATTTTTCACATAACTAGAACCAACAATCCTAAAATTTGTCTGGAACCACAAAAGACCGCAAATAACCAAAGCAATCTTGAAAAAAACAAAAGCAAAGCTGAAGGCATCACAATTCCAGACTTCAAGTTATATTTCAAAGCCATAGTTACCAAAACAGTATGGTACTAGCATAAAAACGATGTGGAGACAAAAGAACACTCAGGTACTGTGGGGAATGCAAACTGGTGCAGCCACTATGGAAAACAGTATGGCAGTTCCTCAAAAAAGTTAAAAATAGAACTGCTTTATCATCCAGCAATTGCACTGCTGGGTATTTACCAAAGAATACAAAAACACTATTTCAAAGGGATTTATGCCCCTCGATGTTTATAGCAGCATTATTTACAATAGCCAAGGTATGGAAGCAGTGTAAGTGTCCATGGATTGATGAACGGATAAAGATGTGATATGTAGTTATAGATACAGATATAGGTATATCCACACAATGGAATATTATTCAGCCATAAAAAGTATGGAATACTGCCATTTGCAACAACATGGATGGAGCCAGAGAGTATATATATTGCTAAGTGAAATAAGTCGGTCAGAGAAAGACACCACATGATTTCACTCGTATGTGGAATTTTAGATACAAAACAAGCAAAGGGAAAAAAATAAGACAAAGCAAGAAACAGACTGTTAACTCTAGAGAACAATCTGATGGTTAAGGGGAGGATGGGTAAAATAGTGATGGGGATTAAGGAGTACACTTGTCTCTATGAGCACAGGGTGAAGTATGGAACTGTTGAAATACTCTGTTGTACACCTGAAACTAATATATCACTGTATGTTAACATACTGGAATTAAAATGAAAAATTAAAAAACAAAATGTGGCTAATTATCCTTTTGTTTATAATAGAATGTGTAGGAAGGCCATGGATTATTAATGGTTACCTGATCAAATGCCTTGCCTTCAGGTGAGACCAGGCAAAAGAGAGCTTTGCTTTTCGTTCTCCAAATCTCATCAAGAGATAGGATTCATTGGCTTTCTTTTTCAAAGCATTCTGGTTATTAATGAGATTCTTTTTAAGATATGATTTCCATTTCCTGTGAGTATATAAGGCAAAGATTATTATTCTCATTTTATACATGGGAAACAAACTCAGAAAAACTAAATGAATTTGCCTATGATTTTTTGTAGCTAATAAGTAACTAGAATCAAAATCTTCATTTATTGTCTAATATGCTTAGCCTGTTAGCATTTTCTGTTTTTCAATTGTAAGGCATGGTTCTCTGAAATTATTTTCATATTTACCCCAGAAGTTAGTCATTTAATTGGAATTCTTTTTACTCAGTAATTGTCTTTAGGTCATATTGCCAACAATTTAGTTGGAGAATAGATTAGTTTACATACCCATGTAAAAACAGTTTTGAGCTTGCAATTTTACAACTACTATTTGTTGGTTAATATATTGGGAAGAAAATCAAATTTATGGGTTAAGCAATTAACTTTATTGGGTGGCATGAACAATTCTAATAAAGCTAGTATAAGTAATGTTTTATTCATGATGGGGCTGAATTCTTTGGCCATGTATCTTTATAACATCTGCTAATAGGTATATGTTTTGTAGTGTTGATTCTAAGATATGTAATAAATTGAAAAACTCTAGTACAATTTTTACTTGGAAGAGTTGTAAAGCTCCATATTTTATATGCCAGACATATTAATGGAAGAGTTGTAAAGCTCCATGTTTTATATACCAGACATGTTAATGGGGTTTTTATTTTATAGCAGCTTATTTTTTCTAATATTTTCATAATTTTTGTTTTCACAGCCAGATGCTGGATTTTTTTCCCATAGATTTTGCAGTCTGACAGCTTTCTAAATGAAAAGGAATAATTTTAGTGATCCAGAAATGTGATTTCACCGAAAGCAAACGATTTTTAGTATGCCTTTGAATTGTATAACCTTCAAGCGGAATTTTCGGTATAAATCTAATTATGCCTGTCATGCTCTTGCCTTTGAACTGACTTTGTTGTTGTTTACAGAGAGGCACAAGCAGCCACTTCCAGGAATGGAAGTAGTAATTAAAATATTAAATTTGTATATTTAAGGACCTTTCAAATTTCAAAATTTACAGCAGTTTTTTGAGTCCATTTTATGCTGAATATTAAGACCCTTTTTTTAAAATGTAATTACTCCTCACTGTCTTATTAGTGTAGCTTTTCCCTACAAACAATGGCAAGTGTTAAAATTGTTACACCGCAAACTTGCCAGGGAGAAAAGTGTCAAGAGTTGCCTATTTAAAAGTAATCAAGGAATATTGCCAAAGTCTAATTTTAATTCCATTTCCTCTGATAGTATTTAGGTTTTTATTGTTATATTATGCTTCTAGTCTTACTAGTCAGAATGATTGGAGACTATAATATTGCCTGAATAATGAGAATATTTGGTAGAAAAACTGCTTGACGGGTATTCTTTACCACCAATTTTGTTGTCCTTTTAATGCTGGTGATTTCAGAAGATTATTTTTGAACATCAGAATAAGTTCTGTAAACATAAAATTATATTGTTTTACTTTCTAATGTCATCCAAGAGTATGTAATACATAAAAGGAGGATATCTATTTAGACGTGTAATTCCTTAAAGTATTTGTAAAAGACAAACATTTTCTTTAAATTTAGAGATAAATAGTGGAAAGCTGCCCACAAACTGTTAAATAAAGATTGCGCCCTTGTTATAGGTGGCCCCAGAAGAATTTAAGACCAGCATTGGCCGTGTGAATGCATGTTTGAAAAAGGCTCTCCCAGTCAATGTGAAATGGCTGCTATGTGGTTGTCTCTGCTGCTGTTGCACCCTGGGTTGCAGCCTGTGGCCTGTTATTTGTCTCAACAAAAGAGTGAGTAACCATTTTATTGTATAACCATAGAGCTAATTAACATTTATTGAATACTTATATGTACCAAGTATGTTACATGATTTTTTAAAAATTCTCTTCAGTGTTAGGCTCATTCTGGAGACAAGCTTGGGGACAGAGAGATAAAGTGATTTGTCCAGCCTTTTTTAATACTTTGTCACTTAATATGAGTTCCCATAATTTTATTTTATTTTTTTACTCTTATTTTTTTATTAGTTTCAGGGGTAGAATTTAGTGATCCATCAGTTGCATATAACACCCAGTGTTCATTTCATCAAGTGCCCTCCTTCATGCCCATCACCCAGTCATCCCTTCCCCCCACCCACCTCCCTCCAGCAACCCTCAGTTTGTTTCCTAGAGTTCAGCATCTCTTCTGGTTTGCCTCCCTCTCAATTTTCATCTTATTTAATTTTTCCTTCTTTTCATCTATGTTCATTTGTTTTGGTTCTTAAGTTCTACATATGAGTGAAATCATACGGTATTTGTCTTTCTGTGACTGACTTATTTCGCTTAGCATGATATCCTCTAGTTCCATCCACATCATTGCAAATGGCAAGATTTCATTCTTTTTGATGACTAATATTCCATTGTATATATATACAACATCTTCTTTATCCACTCATCTGTTGATAGACATCGGAGATCTTTCCATATTTTGGCTGTTGTGGACATTGCTGCTATAAACATCGGGTGCAGGTGCCCCTTCGAATCGCTGTTTGTGTCCTTTGGAAAGATATCTAGTAGTGCACATGCTGGGTTATAGGGTAGCTCTATTTTTAATTTCTTGAGGAACCTCCATACTGTTTTCCATAGTGGCTGTACCAGCTTGCATTCCCACTAACAGCATAAGAGGGTTCCCCTTTCTCCATATCCTTGTCAACATCTGTTGTTTCCTGAGTTGTTAATTTTAGCCATTCTGACCAGTGTGAGGTGGTATCTCATTGTCGTTTTGATTTGTATTGCCCTGATACTGAGTGATGTTGAACATCTTTTCATGTGCCTGTTGGCCATTTGTATGTTCATGTCTTCTGCCCATTTCTTGACTGGATTATTTGGTTTTTGATGGTTGAGTTTGATAAGTTCTTTATAGATTTTGGATACTAGCCCTTTATCTGATAAGACATTTGCAAATATCTTCTCCCATTCTGTAGGTTGTCTTTTAGTTTTGTTGACTGTTTCCTTTGCTGTGCAAAGCTTTTTATTTTGATGAGGTCCTAAAAGTTCATTTTTGCTTTTGTTTCCCTTCCTTTGGAGGCATGTCTAGCAAGAAGTTGCTGTGGCCAAGGTCAGAGAGATTTCTGCCTGTGTTCTTCTCTAGGATTTTGATGGATTCCATTCTCACATTTAGGTCTTACATCCATTTTGAGTTTATTTTTATGTAAGGTGTAAGAAAGTAGTCTAGTTTCATTCTTCTACATGTGGCTGTCCAATTTTTCCCAACACCATTTGTTGAAGAGACTGTCTTTTTTCCATTGGATATTCTTTTTTTTTTAACATTTTGTATCTATATATTTTTCAAAAATCTGTCCATGAAGAAGGAGCTGGGTGTTAGTTTTCTATAGGGGGGATATTCTCACGGACATACTGTAAGGCCAAGTTGGTCCACTTCATTTATTGTTCTTTAACAGATTCTGTGGTGCCTCCGTTGCCCTGTTCAGGTTCAGGAAGCTCATTCAGTGGTATTGCAACATCCTCATACGGCAGCTTGTCTTCTTGCCAAGCATCGTCAGTCAAGTCCAAGGTCCTTCCATCTCTCTGTACCTCACTGCCCATTCTCCTGCAGCTTTAATCTTGTCAGACCCGTGCTGGACCCAGCGCTCCATCTACTTCCCTCCATTGGATATTCTTTCTTGCTTTGTCAAAGATTAGTTGACCATGGGGTTGAGGGTCCATTTCTGGGTTCTCTATCCTGTTCCATTGATCTATGTGTCTGTTTTTGTGCCAGTACCATACTGTCTTGATGATTACCACTTTGTAATACAGCTTGAGGTCCGGAATTGTGATACCTCCATCTTTGGTTTTCTTTTTCAACATTCCTTTGGCTATTCGTGGTCTTCTCTGGTTCCATACAAAGTTTAGGATTCCAGCTCCATGAAAAAAGCTGATGGTGTTTTGTTAGGGCTTGCTTTGAATGTGCAGATTGCTCTGGTTAGCATAGACATTTTAACAATATTTGTTCTTCCAATCCATGAGCATGGAAAGTTTTTCCATTTCTTGTGTCTCCCTCAATTTCTTTCATAAGTGTTCTATAATTTTCAGAGTACAGATCCTCTACTTCTTTGGTTAGGAATACCTATTCCTAGGTGTCTTAGGGTTTTTGGTGCAATTGTAAATGGGATCAATTCCTTGATTTCTCTTTCTTCTGCCTCATTGTTTTGTCAAAGATTAGTTGACCATGGGGTTGAGGGTCCATTTCTGTTTTGATGGGGGTTGCTTTGAATGTGCGGATTGCTCTGGTTAGCATAGACATTTTAACAATATTTGTTCTTCCAATCCATGAGCATGGAAAGTTTTTCCATTTCTTGTGTCTCCCTCAGTTTCTTTCATAAGTGTTCTATAATTTTCAGAGTACAGATCCTTTACCTCTTTGGTTAGGAATACCTATTCCTAGGTATCTTATGGTTTTTGGTGCAATTGTAAATGGGATCAATTCCTTGATTTCTCTTTCTTCTACCTCATTGTTAGTATATAGAAATGCAATTGACTTCTGTGCATTGATTTTATATTCTGCGACTTTGCTGAATTCCTGTATGAGTTCTAGCAATTTTTGAGTGGAGTCTTTGGGTTTTCTACATAGAGGATCATGTTGTCTGCTAAGAGTGAGATTTTGACTTCTTTGCCGAATTGGATGCCTTTTATTCTTTTATTTTTTTGTTGTTGTTGTCTGATTGCTGAGGCTAGGACTTCTAGTACTATGTTGAACAACAGTGGTGAGAGTGGACATCCCTGTCATGTTCCTGGCCTTAGGGGAAAAGCTCTCAGTTTTTCCCCATTGAGGATATTAGCTGTGGGTCCTTCTATATAGCTTTGATGATCTTGAGGTATGTTCCTTCTACTCCTGCACTGCTAAGAGTTTTTATCAAAAAAGGATGAATATTTTGTCAAATGCCTTTTCTGCATCTGTTGAGAGGATCATATGGTTCTTGTCCTTTCTTTTATTAATGTGGTGTATCACATTGATTGATTTGCGGATGTTGAACCACCCTGGCAGCCCAGGAATAAATCCCACTTAGTCGTGGTAAATAATCCTTTTAATGTACTATTGGATCCTATTAGCTAGTATCTTGGTGAGAATTTTTGCATCCATGTTCATCAGGGATATTGGTCTGTAATTCTCCTTTTAGGTGGGGTCTTTGCCTGGTTTTGAGTTTCCATCATTTTAAATAAGTGAAATATAAATGGAGTACTGGAGTAAATATAAATGTAACTAGGCTACTTAATTCTTTTCTCAAAACCCAAACCTGTGATTTAAAGTATTTCTAAGCAGGGCGCCTGGATGGTTCAGTTAGTTAGGCATATGCCTTCGGCTCAGGTGATGGTCTCAGGGTCCTGGGATTGAGCCCCATGTTGGGCTCCCTGCTTATTGGGGAGTATGCTTTTGCCTCTGCCCCCCCCCTTCTGCTCATGCCCTCTCTCTGGCTCTGTATCTCAAATAAATGAATAGAATCTTTAAAAAAATAAAGTATTTCTAAGCTACAACTATATGGGAGAGTTTCTTCTGCTCTGGAGAAAAGCAAAAGTGAGAGTAACCTACATAGCTGGGAGGAAATCCTTAGTTTTGAACATGTTGAAATAACGTTATCATAACAAGACATTACTAGGTACATCATGGATTTAAGACTACTATCTAATCTCATCTTTAAAACTTTTAGTCTTTGGAATGTTTTTATTTCCCAGTGGAAAGATTGAAGCCACCCTGTACTGCACTGATGGTTTCATTTAAACTTTTAAAAAACAAATAATTAGCCTACTAAACTGTCTTCAGAATCATATCACCTTGTGCAGCTATAATAAATGGTATAGTTGTTTGATAAAAACCAAAAATATTCCCAAGAAATAGTCATTCATTTTCCGTCTGCATCTTTCTCCTGCCTTTCTTAATGTGTACTTCAAAAGGAAAATAATGAAACACTGCCATCTGTATGACTTTTTGAATGAAAAAGTTAAACATTTTTTTGATTCCCTTGGTAACTACCAGTAGGTCAAAGCTTGATTTTAAGTAAAGCTTAGTTTATTATTTATCAAAGCATGTACAATATTTTCAGATGGTTTTCTATAAGTTAAAAAAATTGACAGCATAAATTTCTTTCTCATGACGTCATATCTTTTAACAATTACAAATCAGTAACTCCTATCCATTCCCATTGTTTTTAAAGCCTCAGTGTGAATTAATTATGATTCAGATTTTCAATCACACAAATACAGCCAATTTTAATTACTTAACAGAATTTTTGGTTTTAATATTATCTGGGATCTATCATTTTTACTGATGACCTGTTTACTCTTTGTCTATTTGTCGATACTTTCACCACATGGCCTGAAATAGAAGCAGTTTTTTTCAATCATGTGACTTTACTATGCAAACTTCTAATAGAATATGATATTAATACTGATGCTGTGATTTCACCCTCGCCCCCATTACTTTGGTTAATTAATTTTTCACATTGAAGTTGAGGTATCAGGGCACCTGGGTGGCTCAGTCAGTGAAGTGTCTGCCTTTGGCTCAGGTCATGATCTCAGGGTCCTGGGATTAAGCCCCACATCGGGCTCTCAGCTCAGCAGCGAGTCTGCTTCTCCCTCTCCCTCTGCGATCTCTCTTGCTTTTGTTCTGTCTCAAATAAATGAATAAAATCTTTAAATAAATAATTTTTTTTAAAAAATGAAGTTGAGGTATCAGTCAGTATACAGATCTTCCTGGACTTATGATGGGATTACATCCAGATAAATCCATTGTAAATTGAAAATATCATGAGTTGGGGGGC